TTTTTATGACACTGTCTTCTCATACAAGAGAATAATATCCCTTGCCAGCTGTTCTCCTCTATTTTGTATACTTCAGTAAGGTTTTGGATTTCTTTTTCTATTTGGTACTATAAAAATTACTCCTACACAATGTATATGAAAGGAATTACTAGTCCTTTCCATTTCTAAGCCTCCTTTGCTAGAGTTGAAAAAGCTGTCGATCGTTAGGATAGAAAGAAGTTATTGGTTATGGATCTAGTCACCTTATGAATTCTCTTATAATTCTAGTATTTATTGATATGTTTGGGGTTTTATAGATATACAGCCATATGTGAACACATTGAAAAGGCCACTTTTTGTGTGCATATTTGTATAAGCACAGAAGTCATTTTTTTTTTCTAGTAATAGTTTTTAAATTTTCCTGGCAATTGCTGAAAATTCCAAAACCAGTGCTGAATTATATAGTGATTTCAGGCATCCCTGACTAATTTCTTATTTAAAATGAAATAGTTTAAGAATTTTACCATTTATGGTAATATGCTACTGTGTTTTTTTTTTAATAAATAGTCTGGATTATAGTTGATTGGCTTCTTTCTTTCCCATTTTACTTAAGAGTCCTTATTTGGGGAGTGGCACCTGACTTGCCTCGAATACTGTCTCCGCATCCACTGATGGGATCATGTTTTTCTTTTTTCTTTTGTTGATATTTAGAAAGATTTAAAAATTTTGAACCTCCTGTATTCCTGAAATAAATCCTACTTGGTCAAATATTTTACTCTTTTGATGCACTCTTGAACTCTATTTGCTGATAATTTATTTAGAATTTTTGTATTTCTGTTTACAAATGAGGCTGGCCCATAGTTTTTTCCTTCAAATGATGCTGGCTTGATAGGATTAAATAAGATAATTTTTCAAACAGTTTAAAGCACATTAAGAGCTACCTCAATAAAGTAAGAGATGAAACCTAGCTGAAATCCATCTGACCATGGTGGTTCTTGTCACTATAAAATAAAAGGACGTAGAAATTTGACTACAGATACGGTGGGAATCCAATGGATGGCATTCATTCATTATTTGGAGAGATTTCAGAGTTTCAGGTCAGTTTTTATGCTATTTAATCTGCTATGACAAACCATGACTCGCTACCTTAGCTGGCCCGGGGAATCAAATCTAAAGAGCATATACAGAAGAAGAAAAATTAAGACAGAAATGCTGTTTGGAGAAAATGGAAAGAGGAAATCCAGCCCAACATAGGGGTCACTCGTGAACGTCTCAGACGTCCCAAACTGTCCCAAACTCAGAGACCCTTGTACTGGGTCTTTGTGCACTGAGGCAGGAGTGGAGAAAAAAAAAAAAAACAAACTGCTAACTAGGACATTATTGGAACAACAATGGCAAAATTGGAATATGAACTAATAAGGATCAGAGAATAGTACCATACCCATTCTAAATTTTAGATTTTGATCATTATACTGTGGTTATATAAGAGAATGGTCTTAGCAACTGTGTTCCAAAGCATTAAGCAGTAAAAAGCCTGATGTCTTATTTTCAACTGGTTCAAAAATAATTGTGTTGGTGTGTGCGTATGCATGAGGGCCTGTGGGGGTGCATGCATGCACATGCGTGCTTGTGGGTGTGTGCATGCGTGCCCTTGGCGGGCGTTTGCACATATGCACGCGTAAGGAGAGAGAAATGCAAACGAGGGCAAAATGGTAATAATCGATGAATGTGAATACAGGAGTTCTTTGTACTCTTTTTGCAATATTTCTCTTAGTTTCCATTTATTTCAAACAAAAATTACCAGAACAGGGGGGCCTGGGTAGCTCAGCTGGTTGGGCGTCCGACTTTGGCTCAGGTCATGGTCTCATGGTCTGTGAGTTTGAGCCCCGTGTCAGGCTCTGTGCTGACAGCTCAGAGCCTGGAGCCTGCTTTGGATTCTGTCTGTCTGTCTCTCTCTCTCTCTCTGCCCCTCCCCCACTAGTGCTCTGTCTCTCTCTCTCTCTCAAAAATAAACATTAAAAAAAATTTTTTTTTTTAAAAAGTTACCAAAACAATTTCTATGGAGACAAACTTCCATGTTCTCAAAAGGTTTGGCCCTTCCAGCACGACTGACTTCTGGAGGCCAGAACCCCTCTGACTTCACAGATCCTTGACTGTCCCAGCTCTGCATGGTGGCTCCCTCCAACACCTGTGCTGTGGTCTTAGTGACAGACGTGCAGGGCCATTTTACCTTGAAATTTCCTTCTCTAGTGCCATATCCTCCTTTCTATAGTCTGGGGGACACAAAGAGCACACAACACATCCCCAGCCCTAGGGATCAAAGGTCACCGTGGGTCGTAACCTTTCATATGCACAACCATCCTTAAAAAAACTGTGTTCAAACTTTTGTGTTCTATCTCTGAGAAGCTCTGATGGGGCTCAGGCGTCCGCATCTTCACACAAATCCTGGTTAAGCGGTGCGAGGACCACATTCTGACCAACACTGTCCAAGCCTATCAGCATCTTATGCATAGCAGGCCCTCAACGCAAGTTTGTTGGATTGATGTGAATTGTCCACAGCTGCACACAGCTAAGTGAAGAATCCAGCTCTCAGGCCTGAACACAAAAGGGGGGCTGACCTCCAAGCATCATCCAACCAGGCGACACTACACCAGTCCTTAGCTCTCAAGCAGAGTCTCACGGGTCTCAGCTTCCTATTTATAAATCCGTATGCGGGCATGGATGTGGCCCCTTCCAGCACTAAATCATTATGGAGCAGAGGCTAATTTTCATCTGCCCCAAACAGTTTTAGGTCCTGCAAAGTTAGCAATCTGTCCGAGGGGAGGTCTTTGAGCCGCTATCCATGTGGTAGGTGAGTTAGAACAGCTGTTCCAGCACAGGTGAGAAACGGGCATTGATTCGGCCCCACTCTCACCACCTGTCACCTTTGCCTTTTGAGCCTACGTATTAGCGATAAATGTGCCAGCATACTTAGCAGCTAGCAGCACACCGACTAACTCACCAAGACTGTTTAAACCCAAGATAAGATCTGAACTCAGGCCCAGTGGCAGCTTAGTCTACCCATTTGACCCTCTTATCCCGTCAAGCTACACAGGGCTGGGGCAACCTATCAAATGCAGCATTTTATACCTGGAACCTTGCATGGTAGCTACTGAAAAAGAAGAAAAAAAAAAAAAAAAAAAGATTGTGTGAGCCGGTGACTAGAACATCCAGCCAAAAATGTATATACAAGGTATAAATATTTATAGCCCTACAATGTACACTGTATGTCTGGTAAGCTCCAACTGTAGCTTCCTATGATGGCTGTGTCTGACTACAAACTCCCACAGGGCAGGCGATGCCAGAGTTAGCGTCCAAAAGAAGTGGGAAAGCGCAACTCGCGATGTTGCGTACCGGGGTCTCTAGAGCACCAGGCTACAGCACCCTGGTTCTTCCTGCCAGAAAAACAAACAGCTAAGTAGCTATACTTCGCCATTTGGGCTTATGGCTTCTATTTCTTTCTAGCGTTTGAATCCACTATAGTGAGGTAATCAAAAAAGAACTCTAAAATCATGAAAAATGCCAAGCAAGCCGATTATCATTCCCCATGGGAGCTGGAAGTCAGCGTTCATTATTGCAGCACTAGCTGTGGAAGACAACATTCTCCCACAAGGACAGATACTCTTCTAAGAAGGACAAAATGGACACCGGGTTACATACTCTACATGCATTATCTATGTTTAAGAATTCAGAAATAAAATTACAAAGCGGAATAGGCTTAGATGTAGCTCAGAAATTTTTACTTGAGCTAAAAACAAGGAAATGTTGTGCAGGCATTTAGTCAGGAGGTAACAAGGGTCTATTATCAAGATATATGGGTTAATAATTTCATGGGGTTATTCAAGAATGATCTGCTATGATTGAAACCATGTGTGGAGAGCTTGGGCTTCTGCGGGATGTGTCGCAGCAACAAAGGCTCTAAAGATGTATTTGTGCTGCCCGCTATGTATACAGATGATTGACTTAGATACACTTCCCAGACGTAAACAGTAAAGGAATGTCACTGAAGTTTCGCATGCTATCAGATAGAGATAGGGAATGCTTACCACATTGTACAAGCCGATGCACCAGCGTTCAAATAAAATCTGCCCAGAAAATCCATTAACAAAGGCGAACCAAAGCTGAAAGAGAAGAAAGTTCAAGAAGTTTTATATCAATATTGACCTAAATGTTTCCATTCACTGAAGAAGGAGTGGGGGGAATGTGGACCACCAGCTGGACACAGCTGCTGAGGGATAAAGAGCCACAGGACGTGGTGGTCGTTCTTCCATAAAAAACAAGTTCCCGATATTACGGGTACTGGTATTTTAAGGAAAATTTATATTTAACGCATACATCAATTTTAAGAGGTAATATGTACATCTTTACAGAAAAGCAACTTATATTTCATTTACGTCGAATATGTTTCGTGGCAACGCTTTCTCATTGACTGGAAGAGTCTCAGAATTCGTGTTCTTTTTCCCCATGGAGTTGATTTGATAAAGGTGATTTATCTTTGTAGGACTTTCAAACAGATAAAAACCATAAATAAAAAAACAACAAAAACCCCTCTGTTGGTCACTTATGTTCTTAGCTCATAAAATAGTGACCCTCCTCAATCAAACGTCCACCACCTCAGCAAAGGTCAAAACACAGTAATACAAAAGGAACATGCTCAAATCATCTTCTTGAGTAACATGGGTGTATAAATAAATAAAATGTAGACGATTATTTATGTCTTCAAGTAGACTATAATTCTAATTGATTAAGCAAGACTGACATAAAAACAACTGCAGAGCAAAATACCAGGGGATAAAAATATGTTAGAGAAGAAGCCATCAGACGGGCATAACCAGGAGAAGATGTGCAGCAATGAGAGTGCAACAGAAAAGGGGTGAGCCATCGCGAGGATGGACAAAACCCTGATTTAGAAGGGAGCGAATATGGAAGAACGGAATACAACATGCTGCTGTTTCAAAAGTCATGTAAATTTACGGGATACAACAGGATTCCAGTGATCTGGGGCTAGACTTTAAAGCATCCCACGGGAATCACAGAATTCACCTTAGTGGTATAAAATCATGACAGACTGAATCCATTACTATGGGAGAAATACACTGGCAACACAGAAGAGCTACCCCATGATAATAAGAGTTGAGACCAACTCTGCTACGAAAATTTTGCCGAGTCTGATTTTTCAAAATCAGCTTCTCGAGAAAGGAACTGTTGCCTATGTTGCACAACTGTACGGAATGCGATAGCTAGTACAAAGGATTCACCGAGTCCCAACAGGGTCGAATGAAATACACCTCAATTCAATTGCCAGATGAAGTGTTCTTAAGCATAGCTTTGATTATCTCATCCCCTAGTTCAAAAAACTGCTAGGGATCCCTCCTAAATCTAAGATAAGCTTGCTGACCTTGCGGACCCTCAAAAGTCCTCCCACACGCTTATTCACTCTTAAATCCAACTGTCTCCCAAGAGGCCCCCATGAGGCCTGGCTGTTCTCTGTCAAGAAACACTGACAGGGAACTAAGAATCAGAAGTTTATGCTGTGTTCTGCACTCAGAATATTTTTACAACACCTGTCCGAATATCAGCTGTCCCTAAAACAACAATTCCAATCACACTGCTTTCCAACCACTCGAGGCCTTGGTAATCAATAGTTCAGCCAAACTTTTAGTGTGAGGAGAGCCTGGGTCCACATCTGATTCAAGCATATTTGTAAACTGTTTCAAGAGTTTTCACTTTATTTTCCCAAGATTGTGTTATACTTTTACATTCTCCTATTCAAATAAGTGAGCAAACACTGATAAATATCTAATGAACACTTAATTATTACATTGCTTAATTCTGTTGATTTATATTCTTTTGTTGAAGGTAGTGATATTTCTACCGCTCTCCCCTCTCCTAATATCAACTGAAAACAGCAAAAGTAATTGAAAATAGCAAATGGCTATTTTTTTTAATGTTTACTTATTTATTTTGGGGAGGGAAGGGAAGAGAGAGAGGGAGAGAGAGAATCCCAAGCAGGCTCTGTGCTATCAGCACAGAGCCTGATGCGGGCCTTGATCTCAAGAACTGCGAGATCATGACCTGAGCTGAAATCAAGAGTCAGACGCTTAACTGGCTGAGCCACCCAGGCACCCCAGAATCAGCTCTTTTCAATGAAACTATAGGATAGCCTTTATTAAAACTACACATGACACAGCATAGAAATAATACAAGATAGGCTCAAACAAGGGGGACTGCCAACAGCAGAGTAATATACCTACAGAGTAAAAAATTTTCCAGGAAACAGGGCAACAATCCAAGAAATCGCTGACCAACTCTCATTTAAAGGGAGAAATCTAGGGGCCCCTGGGTGGCTCGGTCGGTTAAGCATCCGACTTCAACTCAGGTCATGATCTCACAGTTCATGGGTTCGAACCCCGCGTCGGGCTCTATGCTGACAGCTCAGAGCCTGGAGCCTGCTTCGGATTCCGCGTCTCCCTCGCTCTCTGCCCCTCCCCCACTCACGCTCTGTCTCTCTTGCTCTCAAAAATAAACAAAACATTAAAAGAAAACGTTCAAGGGAGAAATCTACAGGCAGGGACAAGTCACGGCTGAGGTCCCTTGTCCCATTCACCACAGCAAGCAAACTGAGGTTGAAGGACAATGTACACACCTATGCCGTTTCCCCCCAAGAAGCGAGCGAGGAGGATGGCAGGGTCAAGTTGGGAGCAGAAATGGCTGACAACTTGGCAGGCACTGATGGAGGGAACCCGAAAAGAAAGAAATGCAAATTCGTCCAACAGAAAACCCGTAACATGCAGACACTCACTGTGAGACACATCGCCCTCCAACTCGCCCAAGAGGAAGAGACGGGGGGGGGGGGGGCTTACTGATGCAAAATGACAGCTGACCAATGTAGGTGAGGCAGAACCTTTGATGAGCAAGCGCTCTGAGACAATTTTGCAGCCCCTGCCCCCTAGATATGCTCACAAAATAATAAGGAAAACATGCGTTTATGAAAGAATATGTATACGTTATGTATGACATTGCATATTACATATAATTATGTATAACTATATACATATAAAATATATAATGTCATACATTATACATGACATGAATATGAAATAATCTTTACTGAAAAAACCAGGTCACGGGGCAGAAGAATATCTTGAATGTTCTTGACAGGCATAAAAGAGCTAAAGAAAATGTGGCTTTTCATTGAAACAAGAGCTAAAGTAAGATGTATAAGCTATCAAAGGAGGAAGCAAGCAAGACAAAGTCAATGTTGCAGGTTAAAGGCACTTTGTAAAGGGGGAGGCACCCAGAACTGAAAGTGCCCACAGCACACCCACGGATGGCGGTGGGGAGGGCTTGGGAGAACAAATGTCAAAGCACAAAAGGTTAACGTTCATTGTAAGAGCTGACAATCTCTCAAAGATAACTGGAAAATTCCAAAAGGGTGTACCTTAAAAAAACATAAAGGCACAAGTAGGATAGAGAACAAAATGTTCGAAGATATAATAAAAGAAAAATTCTGAAATATTCCAATACCTTGCTCAGCCAACAGAGTGAGCACCATTTGTCTCCAGGAAACAAAACCACAGATAAAGAGAGATCCACAGCTACCCACATTCTGATATGTCAATTAATGGGTTAAAATTTTGAAAGATCGATTCTTCTTATATTTTGGCGGAAAAAGCAGTTAACCTACAAGGGGAAAGATCACTCCTCTCCAGCAGTAGACAATACCAGAGGCCAGTGGGAATGCTGACATGTCCTTAGCAAAACAAAGCATGACAAGAAGCTTAGGCAAAGACAGAAACAAAGGAAACATTAAGAGCCCAAAACACGATGAAAACGCAATGACGGAAGTAATACTAAGTGTGTCTGTGGTATTAATAATACAAAAAAATTTTAATGCCTGGTGGATTAAAAAAATTAAAATATGTGCTGTGTACAGAGTAACACGTGAAAGAGATACTATTTGAATAACCACAAATTCACAACCCTGACTTCCAAAGCCCTACAGACCAGGAAGGTCTTTGCCTGCTATCCTGACAGCATGGCTTCTCCTTGGTTCTTTGCAAGCACCAAGTATGAATCTAGTTTTAGTGTTTTGCGCCCAAATATGAAGGAATTTTGTTCACAGCATGATATACTATTTAGAAAAAAATTATGCGGTATTTTGCTCTCACTCTGTATACTCAAGTTAATTACGGATGGCCTATTTCAACATAAAAAACCAAATTCAAAGAATTAAGAGAAAACGGGGGAAAAGTGCTTTCGTATGTGAAACTCTCTGGAGACCTTAAACTCAGAAATTGTACAAAAGGAGGGCTAAATTTGAAACGATTTCTATAGAAAAAATATTAATAAACTTGAAAGAAAAGGAATAACTCGTTCAAACATTTTTGTAACATCTATGAAGACAAAGGACTAATTTCCTTAATACATAAAGAGTTCCTACAAATGGGAAAGAAAATGCCCAATAAGCTGTTAGGAAAATAGGCAAAGAACAGATACAATGTGATCACGGTGGACAAAAAACAACTTATAAATACAGGAAATCTCACTTTTTATGATATAAACACAGGGATATCACGCGCAAAGATTTAAAAGTTTGGGGCGCCTGGGTGGCGCAGTCGGTTAAGCGTCCGACTTCAGCCAGGTCACGATCTCGCAGTCCGTGAGTTCGAGCCCCGCGTCAGGCTCTGCTACGGCTCAGAGCCTGGTGCCCTATTCTGTGTCTTTTAACCCCTCTGCCCCCCCCATCTCAATGCTCTGTCTCTCTCCAAAAAAATAAATAAAAAAGTTGAAAAAAATATTTAAAAAAAAAAAATAAATAAATAAAAATAAAAGTTTGATAATGTGGAATAGTACCCTCATGTGAATGCTAAGAGAGCACTGTCCACAAATACATTTAATGTACTTTTCCTCTGACCTAGGGGTTCCATTTTTAGGGATATACTCTGGATTGTGTCTTATATCTGTAATCACATAGTATTCAACATGAAAATACAAGCAGGTTTACTGTGGTATTTGGAAGGATAAAAAAATTAGAACCTACATTGTGCACTGACAGCTAAATGAATTATGGTTCATCTGTAACAATGCGACACTGTGCAGACGTTAGAAAGAGTAATGT